CAGAGCAACATTATCCATAACTCCAAACTGGACATCATCCAAAGTTTCCTCAAGAGTTGAATAAACAGTCATTTATTCACATAACAAAATGCAGCAGCGGTTCTCAAAGTGCTGTCTCCCGCCCAGAAGCATCAGGATCAGCTGGGAACTTGGTGGAAATGCTAATTCTCGACCCTGCTCCTCACCTAGTGGGTCAGACACTCTGGGGAGGGGGCTGAGTCTGCCTTTACAAGCTTCCCGGGTGCTTCTGATGCATAAGACAGTGAAGACCATTTCTCTACAGCCATGAATCTGATGAGTTTAACAGCCCTGAGTAGATCATCAAACATTCTGCTGGGAAGTTCAAAGATGACTATTAGCAGATACACAGAAAGCTAAGCAAATGAAAAAACACACTTTTTTTTTTTAAAGGAAAATACATGTTGCATGAGAAAGAAAATATGTAATACAACTATAATATCCAACTCAACCATGCATTACAATTGTATAGTCAACAGAACATGAGCTTATGACGATGGAACTGATCGGGAAATGCAGCTCACAACATAAATGCAGTGTCTACAACAGACAACTCCAGAGCGAGCAGTGGAAGCCTGTGATTCAGAAGACAAGTGTAACTATCAGAAAATTGAAAATAGTGACCTCTGGGGAAAAGGATGAGCATGATAGAGGACAGGGCACTGCTGTTTTTCATAACAGTCCTTTCAGGGGTATTTCACTTACTAAATTCCCCGTGTGATATACCGGATAAAAATTAAAACCACAAATCAAAAACAACACTGCGTGGGCAAAGCCAGCCAGACAAGGGGGTTACACTGGGCCAGAGCCCACCGATGTGTGTTCTCCACTCTGGGAGTCAGAGGTGGACACAAGAGCATCCACGTTCAGAGCACACTGTAGGGAAGACACAGCAACCAGACCAGAGATGAACAAAGCCGGGAAGCACCACAGGAATGATGAGGAGAGTCACATGGGAAGGTCCATGAAGGAAAGGGTTGAGGAGCTGAACCCTGGAGGGAGCGTATGGTCGTCAGGAAGCATAAGAAAGGCAGGAAAGCACAATGTGTTTTGAAAATGCCAAGTAGTTCAACCTGGCTAGCCAGAGGGTTGGTCCACGCAGGGGCTTTAGGGACGACAGCCTCACTTCTCAAGACTGGGCTTTGGGTAGGTAAGGCCAACTAGAGAGGATGGACGTCTGGAGTACTGAGTGAGGGTGGATCCTGGGCTTTTGGTGTCCTGCCTTGTCCTGAGATTTTGTCACCAGTGAGCAGAGGTGAATTTACTGTGAAGCTAATGAAGCCGAGGCTTCAAGGCTCCCAGGGACCTTAGCAAGGTGTTCACACGATCACACATGAACACCTTTTTTAAGTCTGCAAAAATCAGCTATTCTGACTGCAGATATAACCACTGTCTCTTTCCACTGTGACCTCCATTATATTTTGTGTCAGGTGGCACTGGCATTTCTGGCTGAAGGCAAGTTGAGTGGAGATGAAATTGCCTCTGGGTTTGATGGAATATATCTGTGGGGTTTGCCGTCACATCTGTCTGTAAGTTATTATTAGCCATCCTGTGTAGGAATGGCTTCCAGAAATGCTTCCACTGTCCACCATGCCGAATGGCTTGGCATGGTGACATGAAGGGCAGGGCCAGAGGAGCGTGTGAGCATGCGTAGCGGCAACCGGCACACAGGACCGTGGAAAGAAAGAAGCGACCATATGGAACTAGAAGCTAGTCTGTAAAAAACTCTTCCCTATCTTCTCACAACTAGCATATAAGAGAAAACTGACAGGATTCTCAAATTTGATGGCGATCCTAAAAATGTATATAGTCCTACCCATAATAAGTTTGAAGACTAAATAAACTTTTCCAAACTATCAGTAATCGATTTCAATCAGTCGTGCTACTGGAGAGCCTGAACTTATCCTCCTCCTGACTCCATAGAAAACACTACAAAATCACAGTCATTTGAAGGCACAAAGAACATGAAGCCAAAAATGTGAGAAAAGTATTACAGAAGGTTGAGAAGCAGCTACAGAATTATTTTTATGTATTTTGTCCTATTTGTTAGCATCTTAGAATTTATACTGTTGTGATTTTTCTTATTCTAAGCGATGTTTATACCTCATTTTGAATTTGTAATTTTGTATTTTTTTCTTAAAGAGGGCTCCTAAGTTGTCTGAGTTTCAGGCCTAAACAAAACCTAGATCTATCCCTACAGGAGCAGTTTTCTGAGATACTTTTGCTCACACGTCAAAGATGACAAACACCCATTCCAACGAAGATTACTATTTGTATTTGCGGTGGCGACAGCAGTGGGGCTCAAGTCACTCCCCTCCCCAAAGCCCGGCAGCCAGGTGGCTGGGCACTAGGGCTGCAGTGGCACCAGCATGGGTGGTTGGGCACCGCAGGAATGGGCGGTGCAGAACACTGGGAGGCCGTGGCGGAGAGGGCAGCCAGCACTTCAGGGCAGGTTACTTTTGCGGAGACCTCTTAGGGTGGGGCAAAGGGAGGTGGCGGCAAAGTGTGTAGGGCTGCCCTGACCCAAACCAGCATCTGAAAGATGAAGGGTGGCAATATTTATCTCTTGGGAGGCCCTCGCTCCACCCCCGAGCACATATAGAACTATAGAGCATATATGAACATATAGAGCATATATTTCAGCATAGAGAGCCCAGACTTGGGAATTCAGCACACAGAACGGTCTCAGGAGAAGCTGAGAGGAGCAAACTTAAAATAGCGGAACATCGGGTACGGGTGAGGGGGTGGGCATGTTGGGCCACAAGGCCACTGTAACTGTGCCAAATACTCCTTTAGCTAAGGAGGACTCAGGAAAGGATCACCATTAACTACCTTTTCAGCCCTCTTTGGGCTATCTGGCCAGAGGCCAGATTTTCTCCAACCAGCACCCCATTCCTGTGAGAACGTTAATAAGACAATCTGTCCCACTTTACATAGGTTGCAATGACCTTGTGTGGCTTCTGTTTGTTCCAGCCATAGACCATTCCGGCCACTCTCCCCTCCACTGCCCGGCAGGCAGGAAGCATCACATAATGCCCAAGAGGGAGCCCAGAATCCTGGGCTCCCTGACCAGACTCCTAATGGCAGAATCTTTATTTTACCCCTCCCCCACTCTCAAAAAAAGTTTTTTTTGTTATTGGCAAGTTATTAAAACTTAAGATATCTCTTAATAAGACCCTTAGAATTGTGCCTACCATACTGCAAGTTCTATATAAGCATCTCTTCAAATAAAATAAAAGTTTTAAAAACCCTTCCGTTTCTTCATGGATCTACATTTGAAAAACCATAAAAACCCATAACAACTCACCAGGGTTTACACAGTGGTGTCCAAATCCTAAACTGGCTTCTCCTTAAAGCTTCAAGGGAGAAGAGTTTTACGGTGGAATCTAAAAGTTATTAAATATCCTGATGATGCTCATTCTGGAAAGGAAGTGAGGGGCCGGGGGGGGGGGGGAAGCAAGTGCTCCCTGTACACAGTGGATGCCCTTTCCAGGAAGAATGTTTGTCCTGCAGCTACAAACTTCAGCCTTGTAGCACTCAAGGTTTGGGGTCCTCTTTTCCCACTAGGAAGGAGACAGAGCCAAAGGGTGAAGTCCCACAACCCACCTTTTAAGTCATGCCTTCCCTACAGGCTGAATCTTGCATCCTTAAAACCACAGAGGGAGGGCCCTCCAACACAAAATGTGTCTACTCGGTGTTGAAATGAACTTTTAAAGAGGATTAGAGGATTCACACCAAGGTGAAGCACTATCCACTATGCAGGTGACAACTCGGCTCAAACTCAGGATTGGTAACAGCCTGACTTTAACACCCAGGGAAAACCAGCAGGGCATTTTCATACTGCTAGACCTGAAAAAGAAAGTGCTGTTTGGATATAAAAAGTCAATCTGCTCACACTGCTACTTCTGTCCACCTTGACCCTCCAATCACCAAAACACAGTCATGTACCTTAACAAGCCAGGCAGGAGTAAGCCACCTTCCCACTCAGTCTACCCGGACCCTGGCCGTCCTGGGAGAACCAACAGCGCTCACTCACTGCGCAAGGACTTCGAATCTACAATGTGTCAGACACCGCTTCGGGTACAGAGGAAAACGTGGGGAACGAAACGCAAAAATGAAAGTGAGAAGAGTAGCTGCACTCTCTTTTCAAATTCAAGTAGCAGGTTCTTTTCAGCTCTGGTGCTTGATTTACGTCCTTTTTCTCGTCAGCATTACCAAGTTCCTCCTAACACTGAATGGAACCACTTTTCCGCTGTTGGGTCGGAGTAGGTATGGATTTAGGTTGCTTGAGGAAAGACAATCAAACAGCAAGACAGCCAGATCTCCCGAGGCAGGGGTTTAAACCTGGAGGCAACCACACCCACGTCCTGGCCACAGGATCTATTCAAGGTCCGTAAAAACAAACAGCTGCGGCATTCAAGCCTGGGAGGGCTTTTTAAAATCCTAGGGCTAATTTGCAAAGCTAGTAAATTCTAACCTACTCTCTCCAACGCAAAGGTCAAGTCACCTACAGTTAGACACTCAACACGGCCAAAGGAGAGGGGCCATGTCAGGAATGCTTCATAGGTGGCCGCCCCCTCCACGGGAGAAAGGTGCTCACCTCCCCCGGGTCCTGGAATGGAGAAGGGAAAGGGACGGTCTGTGCAGTAAACCAACACAAAGGCTTCTTTCACCAAAACGCGCCCTAGCACCCTCGGTCCGCGGATACCAGACGCCCACCGCTCGCGGTCCGGCCGCGCCGGACCCACTCCGCACGCGCGGGCCACTGCCCCCAGCCCCGCGGCCGCACGCCGTGCGGGCCCGGCTCTCCCGAGCCCCGAGGGAAGGTCTCCTTCCGTCCGACAGGAGTTCTGCTCGGACTTTGCGAAGTTCCAAGTGGGCGTCCTACAGCCAGCGCGCCGCCCGGCCCGGCCCGACCCTGCCCGCTGGGGCTGTGCTCGTCCGGACCCCGCCGGGCAGGGGAGGAGGGCCGCGGCGCTCACCTGTCCCGCCCGCAGCGCCAGCTGCACGGCCGCCTCGAAGCACTCCTCCCAGGGGCCCCCGGCGGGCGCCTCCTCGTCCTCGCCGTTCGGCTTCATCGTGGCCTCGCCGGGCCCCGCCACCTCCAGCCCTCCTCGCCGGGCCCCCACCGGCTCCCGCCGCCCCGAAACTAGGCTCCGCACTGCTTCCTCCTCGTCCCGCCACTCCGCGCCTCGGCCGCCGCCGGCCCCACAGCAGTGCCCGCGGGAAGGGCAGGG